AAATTAGTAACTTCAACTAAATCATAACTGATGAACACAATGATGTGAGGCTAAAATTATATATATTTAATTATTATTTGCCTCATATTTTATCTTTTAATTATCCTTTTTGAGTATAAATTTTATGAATTGTACTAAATAGTATATTTTATCTGTAGAATTAAATTGGTGGAAAAATGAAGAAATTTGGAGCTAAAACGAATTAAAGATGGAAGGTTGAAGAAGGAAATCAAGCAGACAGTTTAATGGATTAAAGTTAATAAAATAATATGTTTCTATATCTTCAAAGAGCCACCAATTTTCAATCAAATTGCTACCACGTGGCAGCTACTAAGAGACCAAACAATTTGTTAGTGGTCGCTTCCAGAAACACGGAAAACCCAATTTAATTGGGTTTTGTTTTCCTAATTTGTCTTGAACTTAATAATTTTATTTAGGGTTTATATATCTATAAATAGGACATGATAAATTATTCTTTAGGGGAGCCAAGAACCAAGAAACAATACACAATTTAAATGTTCTTCTAGCTTATGAACTTTGGAAGAGCCGTCGTGGATGCCGGAGAATTATGGTTTATTCTTTCTTCTCCTTTATTATTTACTTGTATTCGTGATTAATAAAAGATAATTTAGCTATTGTTTTAAATTTTTATGATTAACACAAGTATATTTATTTTTAAAAAATTTGATTGTGTTTTTGAGATAATGAGTAGCTAAATTTCATAACTAGGGTTAGGGGCGGACCCACATGCACCCGGTAACTTTTTTAAAAAAGCAGTATATATATGTATAGACAGTTGATAAAATGAACATATATTTAATTGTGCACCCTAACAATCAAAAGTTGTTCTGGGTGCACTGGTCGAATGCGCCAACTCCTTGCGCGACTGCGTGAGATTGATTCCCAGCGAAGGCAATAATTTTTTAACTTTAAATTCAGCCTTTTCTCTAATTTTTTTTATATTAAAACTCATTTTTCCACCTCATCTAGCCCCTCCCCCTTTCTTAACCACCCTTTTTTTGTCATCTGGTCCCATTCGTTTCTTAATTGAATTTAAAAACAAATAAAATCCCTAGTACAATTCTAAACAAAATATAAGACTAATTTTTCCTAGCACAATTCTAAACAAAATATAAGACTGCTAGAAAATCTACAGCTTACAAGTATTCTTATTTCTTAACTGCATAATTGAAGTCCTACTCCTAGTATCTCTGCGTAAATTGGTAATTTCTTCTTTATAAACGTATTTTTTTTATGCAATAATTTATTGTTGATTCTTGTGATTTGAGATGGTTAGATTTTTGATGAAAAATAATTCTTCTCAACCAAGTGCTAGTTTTAGAAACAATTCTTCGCGTTTTATAGATGAGTTTGATTTGCAGTCACTTAAACCGGATCCTGGAGAAAGAATATCCATTGATAAATATAGCCCTAGGATACGAGATGAAGTGAGAAGACACTATCAACAAGGGTTGTCAACCGGATATTAATGATAATGAATATCCTCAAACTATATTCGGAACGAAAATGCATCGATTTTGTAAGACATGGTTGAAGGGTTCATATTCTAGTTGGTTGGAGTATAGTATGAAGAAAGATGTTGTATTTTGCTTATGTTGCTATTTATTTAAAAAAGACTATGTAAAGGGAAATGCAGGTGATTTTTTCACGAAAACTGATTTTAAGACTTGGAATCATAGTTTGGAACGATACAATTTACATGTTGGTGAAGTAAATAGCGTCCACAATAGGTGTTTCAACAAGATGCTAAATTTTGCGAATCAATCTCAATCCATTCAAGTTGCTTTTAACAAGCAATCTGAGAAAACAAGAAGTGAGCATCAAATTTGTTTAGAGGATTCTACTAATGTGGCAAGGTTCCTCTTGGAATTTGGATCGTCTTTTCGAGGTCATGATGAAAGTGAGTCTTCAAAAAATGAAGGCCTTTTTTTAGGTGCTTTGGAATGGCTTGAAAAAATGCTTTCGGATATGAATAATGCTATTTTAAAACATGGCTCAAAAAATGCTATGATGACTTCTCCAAAAATTCAAAAGGATATTGTGAGTTCTTGTGCACAAGAAATCGTGAAAGCTATAATTGATGACTTCGATGGAGATTTTTTTGGAATATTAGTTGATGAATCTAAAGACATATCACACCATGAACAAATGGCCCTTGCTTTGAGGTATGTTAATAAAAAGGCAAAGTGAATGAGCGAGTTATTATTATTGTTCGTGTTGGCGATACATCTGCACAATCATTGAAGGAAACAATATGTTCTTTGCTTTTGAGACACTCTTTGAGTACATCTAAAATACGTGGACAAGGCTATGATGGGGCTAGTAACATGCAGGGTAAAATGAATGCTCTTAAAGCTTTGATTTTGAAGGAAACTCCATTCGCACATTGCATTCATTGTTTTGCTCACCCATTACAATTGATAGTTGTAGTTGTTGCCAAATAAAAATTACTTGTGGACAACTTATTTTCTATTATTGCTAACGTGTTGAATGTGATTGGATCATCGTTAAAGCGTAGAGATCAACATCGGGACCATCAAGCATAGAGGTTGGAACAACTACTAGAAAGCGGTGAGGTTCAAAGTGGAAAAAGGTTTGAATCAAGAACGAGGGCTTCAAAGACCAGGTGACACTCATTGGGGATCTCATTTTAAAACATTGGATAACTTTGTTATTTTATTTTCATGTATAGTTCATGTGCTTGAAGCAATTAAATGTGGAAGTTCCAACCCTAATGATAGATTGCAAGCAGGAGCTTTCTTGAATATGATTAATGAATTTGAATTAGTTTTCTTGCTTCATTTGATGTTGAAAATATTGGTGATATCAAATGAGCTAAGTGCAGCATTGCAGAGAAAGGAGAAAGATATTGTTACTGCCATGATATTTCTTGACATTACTAAAAAGAGACTGCAATTGTTGAGAGATGACAGGTGGGAATCTTTGATGAATGAAGTTTCTTTATTTTGTGATAAACATGAAATTTCAGTACCTAAGATGGATGAATTTTATATTCTTGGAAAGTCAAAGCGTAAGTCTTGTAGTGTTACTTATTCACATCACTTCCGTGTTGAGCTCTTTTATGCTATTATTGACTTGCAACTGCAAGAGCTTAATAATCGATTTGATGTTGTGAGTGGTAACTTGCTTCTTGGTATGGCAAGCTTGAATCCGGTCAATGCCTTTGCTAATTTTGATAAGGAAAAAATAATGATATTGGCCAAACATTATCCAGATGAATTTGGCGAACCAGAACTTCGAAATCTAAGTCACCAACTTGATACTTTCATAATACATATGTGACGTGGTGATCCTAGATTTTCTGATTTGAAATGAATTTGTGATTTGGCAGAAGCACTGGTTAATGCAAATCTCATAGAGACTTATTCTCTTGTGTACTTACTTGTGAAGTTAATCTTGATTTTACCTGTCGCTACAGGAACGGTAGAGAGAGCATTCTCATCCATGAAGTATATCAAGAACAAACTGTGTAGTAGTATTAGCGATGAATTTTTAAATGATTGCTTAGTTTGTTACATCGAGAAGAATATTTTTGTAAATATAAGTAACGATGCTATCATTGATCGTTTTCAGAATATGAAAATGCATCGGTGTCAAATATGAATGGATGATCTATTTTTATTATATTAGTACTAAATTATTGGCGTTCGATCAACTTATACTTTGGCCATAATTTTTCTCATTTAATTGTATGTGAATTCAGTGAATAAAAGGTTAGACATTTGTCTGCAATTCATCACGTTGGATGTTGATGCAAACTTTACTTTTTAATATGAAGATTTGAATTGTTTATTCAAAGTTCAATAATATTCTTGATAAAAAGTAGATTGTTCTCTTTTTTTAATTATAATGTTCAATATTGGTTTAAGTGAAATAAAATAATAAATTCACTATTAAGATTTATTTGGGCCTCAAACTTTTGGAGGCGTAAGCAGGCTTTGCTAACATTACCCTTGTGCCACTCCTATCCTTACCCTTGAGTCACTCTTAGTAGTTCCCCCCCTATCTTCAAATCCTGGGTTCGCCTCTGACTAGGGTTGTGGGAACCATGATGAATTATTAAAGTAAGTTTATTTACAAAGTGATTCTTGAATGATTTTTATGCATGTATTGTTAATTCTTTCGTTTAAAAGTCTTTTTAACGGTTGCAAATGTTAGAACTCACCTCGTTGCTACTTGCCAGATCAAGGAGGTAGTTAATGAGAAAAGAATTAACAACAGAGATTTCATGGATTCTATCTAATAGTCTAATGTCAATTGGTGCGAGGGTGAAAACTAAGTCATACGTTGATGTGATGTGTAATATGAGGTAAAGGTAAGGGTTAGTAAAGTATACACATTTAGCTGGAGCAAGGTGCGGGGTCAAATTCCCTAGTTGGAGGACCAATCTCTTAGGGATACCTAACTTACTAACCTTGCATGCTAAAATTTGAAATAGATCACTAGTATGATATTCTTGCTATTTTATGAAATCATGGGGAATACATTCCTAGTTATTTCTAATAATCTAAATATAAATAAATACTTAGTTCAAGCTATTTTTATTCTTTTTATTTTTATTTCAATTTAAATCCCCCCTCCCCTTTTTTAAATAACGACTATCGAGTTAAATATTTGCTATTGACAATATTCTTCCATATTCTCTGTGGGATCGACCCCGACTCATAGTTGGGTAAATATATTGCATACGATAGATTATATTTCTTTCCAAGAAGTATATTTGGACGTTATCACACAACACTTAGTACTAACTTCGACTGAATCATAACTCATGAACATTTCATGATGAACATCTCAAATGACAAATGAACCTAGACACATAATATAATACTTAAGTTTTTAATTTTACTTTCGACAATTCCATAACACGCACACTAGTAATTGGGAACTATGGAAGAAGTAGATCCACTAACCCTATTAGCAAAGGGTCCACCAACATTGAGTCCATATGAAGAACTTTACCTAGTACAATTAGGAGGAGTCCAGGCACTTCTCAATGTTTGAAATGGGAATGCATTATTATTCACCATTTGTGCCTCTTTTTCAACCTTTTGCTTTAGAATTTCCAATGCCTTCTTCAAGTGTTGAAGTTGGAATAAGTTAAGTTCTTCCATAGGAGATTCCCACCATACACCATTAGCTCTCTTCCTAATTTCTCGAAGGGATTCTCCACAATTTTTCTCCATCTGGAGAATCCCCTCGAGGTTTATGAGCTTGGTATTGATCTCACGAATACCAGCTTCTCTACGAGCCACGATTTGTTAATTGTGGACATCGTTATTTTGTAAAGGGAGGTTCCTCCCAAGGAACCTCTACACCAACGTGTTAATGCTAGGGTGACCAAAGGAGAAAACTCCTTTATCGCCCAAGGAAAATACCACAATGACAATTTCAGCACCACATAGCGTACAAAGTTCACTAGCCTTGTTGAACAGACCAGCACGTCGCTTAGAAAACGTAACTTGTAAGTTCCTCGCATTCTTCATTTTCACCATGTCAATCCTTTGATAACCCTTGCTGATCCTTGTTGTCATGTCTAAACTATCACTAAGAAATTGTGAAAGTAAAATTGTGATTTTTGGTCTTAACACCAACAACTTTATATAGGAAATTGTGTTTTAAAATAACTTGGGGAGCCTAGAAATTTATGTTCTTTCCTTTTTTTGCATTGAAGAAAAGTATTGAAAATGAAAAACATTAGATTCACTTGCCCTTCATTCTTTGCCTCGGTAGATATAGATCTTATTATCATAATTACACGATAAATAATTTTCCTAATTAGAATTATATTATTGGATTGCACTTGACCGCCATTTTATTTGAGAACAATTTTAAAAAAAAATATCAAATGATTAATAAAACCCTTAATCTTTTAATAGTAAAACGAATTTTGCATTTACCATTGAATTTTCCTAGTCAATCATCATATAAAAACATACAATGTATCACATCAACCATATGTGGGTGTTTGGATTTATAAATATGTCACAAACTCCATGTAGTGATATATTTGCCTTTTTAATTAGTAAAATGTTAAACAACTTACATTTCAAATATTATATTGATTTGTATTGGATTTATTTAACAACAAACAACTCTCTCTAAATAATAAAATTTGTAAAATAATTTATTTGAATAAATTTATTAGGACAAATATAAAACATAAAATACAGAAAATAAACAAAATCGTTAAAAGAATTTAAGGGATATTTATTTTTGCTTTACATAGATTTATGCCGTGGTATTAAATTCTATGTATTCCTAATATCACCAAATGTAAGGTATTAGTTATACATCATATACCATGTAGGGTGTATAACTGATCCATGAATTAGTTATACATAGGCCTTAAATTCCTACGAAACATAGTACTAAATAATACCATACAAATACATGGACTATTTCTCCTATCATTCCCTTCCAAATGACTCATTAATCTTTTTCAATTTTTTTTATGTTTCTACAACTGATATTAACTTTGTCCTAATTAAAATTTCTTCTGCTTGCCTCTGCCCAACCTATGTGTTACCATAATCTGGTATTCCACATTAGTGATGAGCTACCAAAGGAATTCGTACCAATACCCTAAATTTTCATCAGATTAACTTCGCTGGTAGGCGTCATTGTCAACGCAGCGATAGATGGCCTACACTCCATGCTGGTGATCCACCACCAAAACCACCATTGAACTGTGCTACAACTTTTAATAAAGTAGAAGACAAAATCACAATGCTTATCCCTATCAAAGATATTACTTACATCCATGGAAATCCAACTGTATTATGGGAGGAAGAAGAGGTTCAAATCATGATCACTAAAGAAGAATTACAGTGTGCCATAACTGAAATTTTTTCTTACGGCTGGTCAAACCTAGAAAAGATTCGTAAATTGATCATTTACGGTGTGAGATTCAAGTCAGAATGTAAGGAAGGATTCTTGAGTGATAGACACATACTAATTCGTCTTACCAACATGAAAGATTACGTACATTTCATGTCAAAACCGACATAACTTTTGAAGGCTAAAGACCGATATAATATCATATGTGACCTCTAAAGTGGGAACCCTAGTTCAACCTAGAGGCGGAAACTGCCCTAACGTGGATCTCTTTTTCATCCCTATCACCTAATTTTTTCATTAAAGAATCCTTGTTTACGGTGGCCAAAGCAGTGGGAAAACCGTTACATGTTGTCATGGATACAATAAGCAAATCTACACCTAGTTTTGTCAAGGTAAAGGTTGAAGTGGACTTATTGAAAGAATTTGTCAAACGGATCAATGTTGGCGTTAAGAAGACATATTCTGAGGAAATCATCTCAACATGGATAAAAAATTTATACGATTACATGCAAAAGTATTGCAAATATTGTGAACTTCAAGGTAGATGCATGATTTACGTCGAAGGAGTTCAAAAAGATAAGTAAGCACACTAATAGTATTCACAAATAAGTGGATCAGGGCAGGTCAAATATAAACAGATTAGATTCGATATAAGCAACTAAATAAAATTCAACTCTACCTCAACACAAACAATAAAATCGAGGAAGTATCTGTTTGACATAATATTAAAATGAGTACGAGAGAATGTATTTTTTAAAATTTTATGTATGGTCTAGTCTCCATTATTGTTCTATATATATATGTTACTAGTATATGTACCCGCATAATGCGTATAAAATATAAAAATATTATTTTTAATTTTTTTATTGTGATATCTTGTACGACTATATTAAATCATACAAAAGTTCAACTATCATATTGTTCCTCATTAATATTCAAAGTTGGATTTTAATTCTGCTCCTACATCATATTAAAATATAATAAGAATATTTATTATCATATCACTAGTATGATAATAAATTTATTTCAAATTGACTGTTCATGATAAACATATTTATTTTATACCTTAAATTTATTTAATACCTAAAAAAATGTTATAAACATGAGTAAATGTGTATCGTTGAGATCTTAATCATAGTTCAGGGGTACTTATGAATTATTTCTTTTAATATGTATGCAATTTTATAAATTGCGCAAAATATATATATCAACAATACGATATTCACTAAAGATCACAAATGTCATGTAGTGATATATTTGTCTTTTCAATTAGTAAATTTTAAACAAATCACACTTCAAATATTATATTTATTTGTATTGGAAAAGTAAAAAGAATGTAAAAGATAGAAACAATCAATCAAATTTTTTATAGATAAAATACAATTATTCACTAACAAATCTATGGAATTAACATAAATGCAAATAAAAACAAATTATTCTCTAAAATTGTGATAAAAAATAAAGAAGTGTGATGAAAATAAAGAATGAAAAAGCAGAGGACAATGGGTGGGGTTTGAAGAAGAAGAGGTGTGGGGGGTGGGGTTGGAAAAGAGGATTCTAATTTATTTATTTTTACTTTAATTTCAAACTTATGCTCCTACATATATATATTTTTGCCACGTTGGTTTTAGGAGGTAAGAAAATTAACTTTTGAATAGTATAGGTGTGTAATAGGTCACTATGATAGTTTAAGCGTGTAACTGACTTTTCGAAACAAGTTCAAGAGGAAATTTATGCCTCTTTCCTAGAAAATATTAATCATCTATATCATGTTTCGGAATCTTGATTTAATTAATTAAATATTAGCCATTATTTTTTCTTATGTCATGAGTCTTCAATCTAAGTAAAAATTTGAGGAAATGGAAAGGAGTTGGATCCAAAAATAAATAAATAATAAAAAACTACAAGATTTTTTTTATATAAAAAAAATTGGGGTCTTGAAGAGGTATATTGCTTTGGTTTGGATAAATAATTAGAAATTATCTAAATGAGGTGGGCTCTTGATATTATCCAATAGGAGAATGATACCTAATAAATATTTTTTAAAAATAAAGAATAAAGAGAGAATTGTTAGTTTCAAGTAGAGCCGTCAATATGGGCTACGCCCGTTGGGCCGGCCTGGCCTAACCCTGGATTTAATAGGGCTGGGCTAAGATTTTTGGAGCCCATTTAAGAAAAGGGCTTTTTAGCCCGGCCTTAATAAGCCTGCTAATTTGTGGGGCTTGAGAAATATAGGTAGGGCCGGCCCGTGGGCCAAATAAAAATAATTAAAAAAATATAATATAATATTAAAATTAAAAATTAAAGAGAGTCCAAACTCAAAATCTATTTAATATTTAACTAATTGAAACCGCATATATATTGCAGATGAAAATGAAGATGTTAAGACAACCTTGCCACAAGCTGATTCAAATATGCTTGGTGAAGATGATCATGAAGTGTTGGATACGCCATAGATTTCATGATGTGTTAGATACGCCATAATTTCATGATTTTTTTAAAGAGTTTATTTTTAACTTTTTTATGGTTGGAATATTGTCACATTTTTTGTGTTTTAATGTGACAAAACAATTAGGTTAATATTTCTATTTAGATATTTATACTTTTATTTGAAAAAACCTTAATAAATATTATAAAGATAATTTTATTTGTGGATTTGATTAACAAGTAGTAACATTAACACCATGTAATATTGTTTTGTCGATATTTATGATAATATTTTTAAATTATAATTTATAATTTATTTTAATAATTATAAAAAATATATAATTTTAAAAAAAGTGGGTTGGCCCGGCAAGCCTGTAGCCCACGTACTTGTGGGCTGGGCCGACCATTTTTTGGCCCATACCAAAACTGGGCTAGCCCGGCCTGACCCGTAAAATGTCAAAGCCTGTATGGGTTAGCCCGGATGGGGTGGGCTAGCCCATATTGACAGCTCTAGTTTCAAGGGTACAAGTGAGCCAAAAAGGTGAATGGAAGGGTATTTTTAGACCAAAAGATGGATGAAGAGTATTTTTATACCTTTTTCTATAATTTAGGAGTATTTTTTACTTTCTTCCGAAATAACAACTCTCTCTATATAATAAAATTTGTAAATTAATTTATTTAAATAGATTTACTAGTACCAATATAATTCATAAAACATAGAAAATAAACAAAATCGTTAAAAGGATTTGAGGGGTATATCTTTACACAGATTAATACCATGGTATTAAATTCTATGTATTCCTAATATCACTACTAAAAAACTGCTGAAAAACGACGGCCAAAAGCGACGCTTTTTATTTTTTTTCGGGAATTTTTTTTAAAAAAGTCTGTCGCTTTTTTTAAATTTTCATTTTTTTTTAATTTCCAAAAAGCGACGTAGTCCGTCGCTTTTATGGAAATTTAAAATTTAAAAATCCCAGAAAAGCGACGGACTAAAGGACCCTGTCCATCGCTTTTCAGGAAATTAATTATTTAAAAAATCAAGGAAAAAGAGACGGACTAAGGGACTCTGTCCGTCTCTTTTCTGGGTTTTTAAAAGAAATAAAACCCAAAAAAGTGATGGAGAAAACCACCCTATCCATCGCTTTTTCTGCAATTTTTTTTACGCCAGTTTCTGTAGCCCACCTGCAAATGCAATTCAATTCAGCCCAATCAAACATATAACATTATAAGGAAGCTACACAAAACATAAAAGAACAAACTTAAA